ATTGTTATAGACTGATGCCATCCAATAGGACTGTCTGTGATCATGAAAATAGTCCAGTATAGCAGCCACTACCCACATGTGGCAATTGAGCACTTGAAATGTGGCCAGTGTGACTGACGAACTGATTTTTATTTAATTTTAATTAATTTAAATGTAAATAACCACATATGGCTACTGGCTCCTGTATTGGACACAGCATAGTTCTACATTTAAAAAGACTGAAAAAATAAAGCAATCAAATGCAATGTATGAAGTTTGATTGTATTCTGGATGAGAAGGGGGAAAAATGAGAAAAAATATTTTGAGGGCTATAGATAAATGTAAATGTAAACTGTTTATGGTATTATTGAGCTAAGGTTAATTTTCTTAGGTGTGATAATGGTATTTTGGTTTTGTAGGAGAATTTCATTCTTAGGAGCTATATGCTGAAGTGTTTAAGGATGAAGTGTGTGCTGCTTACAAACAGTTCAACACACACTCAAAGACACAAAGCAGATGTGGCAAATGTTAGTAATTGAAAACCTAGCTGAGGGACATACTGGTATGCCTTGTACTCCTCTTTTAACTTGTCTGTGGGTTTGAAATTTTTTAAAATAAAAAGCAAGAAGTAAAAAGGAATGAGGCAGACACCCCTAGGAAGTGTGATAGTAACAGCAAGGCTGACCACTTTCCCCAGCTTCCAAAAAACTGTGTTCCAAGTATGTATATGCAAATCAGTTGTTTGGCACTCTGAATGTGCTTGCCCTCTCTTGTTTGTAACTGTCCCTCTGGGAAACTGCAACTTACCATCGAACAAGTACACCCCCACCCCCACCCCAGGAATTGTCACTCCTTTGATTGAAACTCTGTGACTTGCAGGGACACCAGCAACTTGCTAATCTTCCCTCTCAAATCTTCACTCCTCACATTTCTGATTTGGGAAGCTTAGAGTAATTCCTCTCACAGACAACCAGGGCCAAAGCCAAAATTTTGTATTTGAAGTCCTTGTTTACTGTGCAACATGCTGGTTGCTCGTAAATTAAATAATTATAAATTGGTCACATGATTAAGTGACCACAAGTCAAACAGATTGTAAACACTACAGGTGATAAATAAGGGCTGCGATCATAAGGGAAGTGTTCATAAACGAGCTGATACTTAAGTCAGGCCTTAAGCAGCATTTCTCAAAGTGGAATCTGGTCTAGGAATCACCTTAGTACTTGAGAAAAAGGCAGATTCCCCTAAGTCCAACCCCAACCCTACAGAATCAGAATGTCCACATTTAACAAGTACCCCAGGTGATTCTTATGCCCACTAAAGTTTGAGAACTTAAAGTGTGGTAAGATTTCGGTGTGTGAAAAGAAACCTGAAGGGTATTCTGATAAGTGAAGCACCCTGGGCAAAGATACAAAGTCAGAATTGCAATTGGGCTTTTAAAGAGTATAAGGAACTTCCCTTGTTGGAGGGGGGAACTTCCCATTTGAGATCAGGTGAGAGAAAGTGGGTTGGGCAGGGTGGGGCCAGTGCATAGAAAGCTCTGGACACCAGCTCAGGGAGACTGGCTAGTTTTTGGATATTTGGTAGACAATGAAGGAACAAATAATGATGTTTTAGGGAAATCATCCTGGCCAGTTGTGTAGGATGAATTGAAGATAAAAGAATCTAGAACAAGAGAGACCAATAAACAGGTTATTGAAGATTATGCAGGTGTGAGACAATGAAAGCCTGAACTAGGAAAGTGGCACTGGATAGGAAGCAGAAGCGATGGAGGGAGAAATGTTTTTGAAGGAAGAATCAGGAGGATGTGGTGACTGACTTTTTAAAAGGGAGGAGGCTGTAAAGGGATGTGTGTAAATGGAAATGTTAATACTGCTCAAGGTGTGCAATAGCAAAATAAAAAACCACTAATAACATGATTAAAAAATTGGCTAAGGACTCGAATAGACATTTCTCCAAAGAAGACATACAAACGGCCAACAGGTATATGAAAAAATGTTCAATGTCACTAACCCCCAGGGAAGTACAAATCAAAACTACAATGAGATATCAGTTCACACCTGTCAGGATTGCTAATATCAAAAAACCCAAAAGACAAGTGTTGGTGAGGATGTGGAGAAATTGGAACTCTTGCACACTGTTGGTGAGAATGCAAAATGGTGCAGCCACTATGGAAAATAGTATGGAGGTTCCTCAAAAAATTAAAAATAAAACTATCATATGATCCAGCAATCCCACTTCTGGGTATTTATCCAAAAGATTTGAAATCAGGATCTCAAAGAGATATTAGCATTCCCATGTTCATTGCAGCACTATTCACAATAACCAAGATATGGAAGCAACCTAAATGTCCATCGACAGATGAATAGATAAAGAAAAGTGGCATATGTATACAATGGAATATTATTCACCCTTTAAAAAGAAGTAAATTCTGCAATAAGCCACAAGATAGATGAACCTTAAGGACATTATGCTAGGTGAAATAACTCGGTCACAGAAAGGCAACTACTGCATAATTCTACTCATATGAGGTATCTAAAATAGTCATATTTTTACAATCAAAGAGTGGAATAGTGGTTGCCAAGAGCTAGGGGGAGGGAAAATTGGGAGTTGCTAATCAACGGGCATAAGTTTCAGTTAAGCAAGATGAATAAGTTCTAGAGATCTGCTGTACAACATTGAACCTATATTGCACACTTAAAAATTTGTAATTTTTTGTATTTTATTACACACTTTAAAATTTAAGATGGTAGATCTCATGTTAAGTGTTCCACAATAAAATAAATATATTTTTTTAAATGCTTGAGGTCTGAAGCCTGAGTGGAGGGAAAAAATGATGAGGCCAGTGACAGAAATAGGGAAGCTGAGAAAAGGAGCTGTTTTTGTGGTGATGTATTGAGAGGGAGGCTCTGCAGGACATTCAAGTGAAGCTACCTTTATGGCAGTTGAACGTAATTGATTGCAGGTAAAGACATAAATAAAGTCTGAACAAAGAGATGTTTGAAGCTGTCATTGCAAATAATCCATAATCAATCTATAAATCAAAATTTGGGGTGAGTTTATTATGAGCCAGTTCTGAGGACTATAGCCTGGGGGACTTCCTTCCCCAGGTGGAGCATACAGAATGGTTATATACCATCTTGGAACAAAGAGCATACATCACATATGATAGGAATATCTCTTTTACCAATGTCACAAGACATTTAGCTGGCACAGCAGGCCAGTGGTCACAAGGCGAGCACAGCAGGTTGGTAATTAACCCTTAGTTTCTAGGAAGAGGTGCTTATCCTTAAGGAAATACTGATAATGGAGGGCAGCTACATCCCTATCTTTAAGGGCATCGTTCTTGTCTTTGGGACATCGTAAATGTTTAAAGCAGATATACAACGCATGCTCAACAGGCCATGTCAGGCCATCTTGGAAAAACAAGGTCAGGCCAAACTAGTTTTAAACCAAATGGCTTCCTCCTATACTCCAATATATCCCATTGCTTTTCATTTATTTATCAAAGCCAAGGGCAATTCACTAAGGTAAAAAGTTTAAAGAACTATGAGCTCAGGGACTAAGAATCAAGTCTTAGGAAATATGTACTCCCTTAGGGGGTGATGGGATGGAAGGAAATCATGAAAGAAAAAGGTGATCATCATAGGGCTAGAAGGAGAACAAGAAAGAACAGTGTCACAGAAGCCACCAGAGAAATAAGTTTCAAGGAGTGGTCAACTATGTCAAAGCCAATGGGAACTGAGGAAAGACCATTGGAAAGGGGTCTGAGACATCCTGAAAGATGAGTAGCCTAGCCTGACCTCTGGTACCCAGGGAACAAACATTTTGGGCTAAATAAGTTGTGAACCTTGCTGATGTTCTTTCCTCACAGAATGTAAGTGGTAGCCACCCTATCCAGAGACCTGGGCAGGGCTGTTTTCCCATGGCCCTGCTGCTTTTCTTCTATTCCTGGGAAAAGCATAGAAAATGGAGCTTATTTTGCTTGTTGTGAAACTCATGTCTCCTTAACTCCTACCTAAAGGACGAGCAGGTCAGAAAAGTTACAGGCTTAAAAATTAAAATTATTTGCAAAACTGAAGTTTAATCATTATTCATGAGCAACAGCAGCAACACCTGGAGGAGGACTCCCAGTGAACTCCAATTAGCTTCCAGCTCAAATGATGTATGAGTAGTGTAGCAAGACTAGGGATTGTGGACGTGGGAATGAGGAACTGTCTCTTGTTTTCTCTCTGTCTTCACTGCTGTGGCTACTTATCAAATGTTAATAGGTGACATTTAATAGCATGGGCTTTCCTAAGGGTCAGTCTCTTGATCAAGTGTCCCTGAACTTGACAGATATTAGGTCATATGGGAAATAGAAGAGCTAGCCTTCATCATGTTCACAAGATGCTGGGTTTGTCTATCTAACTGAAGGAATAGGAAATGAGGGATGGAGCATGAGATGAAGCACTTGGAGCATGAGGGATGAGGCTTCAGTTTTCATTAGTGTAATAATTTATGCAATCTACGGACTAATTTTTCATCTTAGCTCCATAAAACCTTTAAAGATAATGAGAAATCTATTTGGGATGGATTTAGGCAGGTGAGATCATGTCGAACAAATCGCCTCCAAACGATCTTTTCTATTCCAGAATTATTTAATAATAAGATTCGGAACGGCTGAAGGAGTTTGAAAGCCTTGAAACTTTGTGTAGCTTTTTAAAAATAAAAATAGTACAGAAACTACGTTTCCCAGAAGGCCTCGTGGGCGAGGCGCGTGTCCGCAGTCGGCTAGTTCTTTTGCCAGCGAGGTAAGCTGGCAAATGTAGTGCTTCAAGCCACTCTGCACGTGACCAGTGCGGAGGAAGGCGAGAGGGACCGCGCCGCGTGGGGCGGTCCAGGGTCCAGGGAGTCAGAGTGTGAGCCCCTCCTTCCCCTGAATTTGTTTTGTGCCAAATGGGGGAGGGCCCCCATCTTCTGGCCCAACTGTGAAATGAGTTGGCCGGGGCCCAGTCACCCGCTGGAGCCGTTCCGGGGAACTCCCGGGGAGTAAGGCACCGAGGTGTCTGGTCCTGTTTCTTGGCAGCCCTGCCGGGCGGGGGAGAAGGTGCGAACAGCCCGGGCTCGGAGCTCGCGCCCTGCGCCCCACCCAGGCTGCGGCCGCGCGGGGAGGAAGCGCGTATAGGTTGAGTGCAAAGTTTCCCTTTTTGCTTTCTCGTCAGAGCAGCCCCAACGGACGGTGGGCAGGAATGCCTAACTTCAATTTGAAGGGGGTCCGGAGCCTAAGGGGTTAAAATTAGCGACTCCCCCACTTCCCGCCTCCCTAAAACATCCACCCCGCCAGCCATGGGCAGCCGCGATCACCTGTTCAAAGTGCTGGTGGTGGGGGACGCCGCGGTGGGCAAGACGTCCCTGGTGCAGCGATATTCCCAGGACAGCTTCAGCAAACACTACAAGTCCACGGTGGGAGGTGAGACGGCCTGCGGGGGCGGGGAGGCCAGAGGCCCGGGCCGCGGACTCGAGCTGTGGACCCAGGCGGGGTGGGGAGCGGGAGGTTTGATGTCCTTGCGCCCTTCCTCAGGTCAGGAAGTAGGTGTCCGGCTCTTGGAGGGAGTAATTGCGGGGTGTTTGATTGGTATGGCTCTCTTGGGTTTCTCCAGTTAGGTTTTCCCAGCCTGACCTGACTGCCTGGAAAGACAGAGGGCGAAGGTGTGAAGATGAGAAATGGGAAGGGAGGATGAGAAAATGAGCAATTGCTGCGTTTCGCGGGGCACTGTGAACTCAAGTCTCCTCGCGCAGCCTTCCAAGCGGTCCCGGAAAATCACTGCGACTGGCAGAGGCAGCTGAGACCCCGGGAGGGCCTGGTTGGGTGCCACGTGAGGCTGTCGTCCTGCCTCTCCCAGGAGTTCAGGCAGCTGTTGAAGGAACAGAAAGGTGTTTAGCCTGGCCTCAAGGATCCTAGCTTTGTTATGGGGATGCCTGCGTGGGAGAGTCCCTTGGGTAGACGATCAGATGCTTCCCAGGGCTGATGATTGCGTGTTTTTTGTCCGGTGATTGTATAAATAAAGGCAACCTAGGAATTCTTCAAAGAATGTGAAATATTCCTCCCACCCCTTTTCCTCTCAAACTGGGGAGGGAAGAAAATAAGGGAATCCCAAGTTAATGCATTTCTTTCCGACTGTGGCCTTTGGACTCGACTGTTTTTTCAGAAGTAGAAATGACTTTTATTTAATTAGAAGGTTAGCTGGGAAGATCTGGTGATGGGGGAGAGTAACAAACATTTATTTATCTCTGTTAAAAGAACTTTTTTTTAAAGAAAAAAACTTGCACTAATGTAAATTTTGAAAATGTGTGCTGGTGTTCATTATGGAAGTTTTAAAAAATTAACAGGTATTTACATTGCAATTAAAACATCTTCCTTAAGAACATCCAGCAAAGTTAAGGGTTTAAAGTTTCAAAGACTGTTTCCTGACCACTCTGCCCCGCACTCCTAAATAATATGAGGGTCCCTATTTTCATAGATTTGGTTTAAAAGTGTCCCACTAATTAATTTTTAGCAATTGCTCTAGTTGTCCTTTAGTAAAGAATACAGTTAACTCTGGCTAATTTTTTTTACTGTTTATTCTGAATTTCCCCTAGCTTTCATTTCCCCAGGCATACTCGTTCAACCTTAACTCATGGGGTCTCAGTGGCTGCAGATGCGGCGGTAGATTCCAGCACACTTAAGCATCATCCATGCAGTGTCTTCTTCCTGAGAATCCTCTGGGACCTTTTCACTTAATCCCATTCCTGCCGGAGAGAATTCCTACAGCCTTATGAAGGATGTAGAATTCCCCCAAGGGTGTGTTGTATTAGAAACCAACAGTGAAATTGAATGTGGACGATGCAAAAGTCAGTATACCTCATTTCCCCCTTCTACTCATTTCTTCCCTGAGAAAACCCCCTAAATCTCCCAGAAAATGTTTAACCTGAGATTAGGAGTTGTTTTCATAATTACTCCCACCCTCCTGTCCCCAGTCTTGGAGACAAGTAGTATCAAATAAATCGGTTTGACGAGAGTGAAAGCTGGAGACCCCTTCAGAGAGTGAGTATGAATGATCTGTCCCACACTTAATACATGAATGTGGGCTTATCTCAGTCCATTGAGGACTTAAAAATAAATAAATGAATGAATAAATAAATGAGCTTGGAGTAGTGTGTCCCTAGGGTTGTAACTGCATATTTGATCTGAATTTATTCGTGGATTTTTTTAAAGGTAAATTTCATTCAAGTATATTATACATGTATTTTCAGTGGATTTTGCTCTGAAAGTTCTCCAGTGGTCTGACTCAGAGATGGTGCGGCTCCAGCTGTGGGATATTGCAGGTAGGCTGGGAAGATGGGATAGAAACAAGGGAAGAAATTTTGGTTTAACCAGCAAGCTCTCAGAGAAAAAGTGGGGTAGCAAAACCTGAAGTTTTTTTTTTCTAGAGCTGAAATGATAGAGCTGCTCTGAGGATACACAAGCGGAATAGATGTAGGGCTTTTGTTGATGTCTTCTGTAGATGTTTTGCCCTAAATAAATGTAGAGCAGTCTCTGTGTGGGTGGAGCCGCTGCAAGGTGATGGGTTGACCAGACCATAGGTGGATACTCCCACAGCAGGGGGAGCGTGCTTTTTTCTAGGTTTGCAGCTGAGCTTGGTGAAAAACAAGATCCCCAGAAAATAGCCAATCATAATAATAGCTAACTCTTATTATGTGCCAAGCACTTTTCTAAACCTTTTAGATTCACTGACTCATTAATCCTTACAACAACTCTATGATAAAAGCTCCTGCTTTTATCCCCACTTTCCAGATGAGAAATCTGAAGCACTGAAAGCTTGACTTGTCCGAAGTCATATGGATAGTAACTGACAGAGCAGGGATTTGGAATCGGGCAATCGGGGTGCAGTATCTGGACTCAACCACTATGCCTTACTGCCCTCTCTCCCACAACAAAGGTAGAAAGGGCAGGGTGTCAGAGAAGGTTCTGAGACTGGTCCTCAGGATCACCTTGAAAACTCGCTCTCCTTTCTGCCCAGGGCAGGAGCGCTTCACCTCTATGACACGACTGTACTATCGGGATGCCTCTGCCTGTGTTATTATGTTTGATGTTACCAACGCCACTACCTTCAGCAACAGCCAGAGATGGAAACAGGACCTGGACAGTAAGCTCACATTGCCTAATGGAGAGCCTGTGCCCTGCCTGCTCTTGGCCAACAAGGTATGTGGTCAGTCTAGGAAAATGGCTCCTGGCCTCTGTCTGTGCTCAGAGAGTAACCATATCTAAAACACTCTCTGATTCTGGGCATCCACTTTCCCTTCTCAAGTTGGCAAAATCATCTCTACCTCCTTTCAAGGGATGTTGAGACTTTCTTTGGGAAGAATGTTGACTGCAGATTTTTTTGTGTGTGTGTGAGGAAGATCAGCCTTGAGCTAACATCCATGCCAATCCTCTTCTTTTTGCTGAGGAAGATTGGCCCTGGGCTAACATTCCTGCCCATCTTCCTCCACTTTATATGGGACGCGGCCACAGCATGGCTTGCCAAGCGGTGCATCGGTGCACGCCCGGGATCCGAACCCAGGCCACCAGCAGCGGAGCGTGTACACTTAACTGCTACGCCACGGGGCGAGCCCCTTGACTGCGGATTTTTAGATGCTGCTGTTCTTAATCATGGGTGGAAATGTTTTAAATCTGCAAGTATCTGAGCCATTTTCCTGTTCCCAGAAGTTTAAGAGGTTGCCTTTTATTTATTCTCTTTGCCAGTGTGATCTGTCCCCTTGGGCAGTGAGCCGAGACCAGGTTGACCGGTTCAGTAAAGAGAACGGTTTCACAGGTTGGACAGAAACATCAGTCAAGGAGAACAAAAATATTAATGAGGCCATGAGGTGAGTATCTCCTGCTGTTCTGGGGATAGGCACGTAGGTTTACCCACCTTCCACTGCCGCACCTTGCACCTTCTTTTCTTGTTTCTGAGCAAACAAGAAGAGACTGAGTCACTAGAATGCCAGCTTCTGAAGGTCAGGGATGCTGTCTTCTCTCCTGAGATAACTGGAGACAAAGGGGCATTTAAACCTTGTGGCTTTACTGAATGCCATCTGCTGATAACACAGACAGTGTCTGCCATTTCTCCCTTTCCTCCATACCTTCTCAGCCTTATTTTTTATTTGTTTTTTAGAGTCCTCATTGAGAAGATGATGAGCAATTCCAGAGAAGATATGTCTTTGTCCACCCAAGGGGACTACATCAACCTGAAAACCAAGCCCTCCTCCAGCTGGGCCTGCTGCTAGTAGTGTTTGGCTTGTTTTCCCTCCCAGTTCTAGGAGGTCTTTCATCTCTTCCCTTTGGTTGCCCACCCAGCAATTCTATTAAGTACATTTGCACTGTCTCTTGCTGACTCTTCAGTGAGGAGGGCATCATCACTAAGAAAGGACACCTGGGACCCATGTGTATTTCTGTATCTCCTGCAAGTTGGTTCTCACTTGCTGCTGGCTCATATGGCCCAGTTAGTGCCTTCTGTATAAGAAAGATCGTGGTCTCATCCCTCAATTTGTGATCTGGGATTTTGTGGGAAGGATTAGAAATCAGCATCTATGTTTTAAGGATTGTAATTCTCACCTGCTTTTGAGTTTATCTTTCCATTTGATGTATGTTGATATCTCAATCTGATATGATTTCAGATTGCAAGGAAAATGAGATCAAAGGTCATTTCCCAAATTCCTTGTAGGTCATTGCTTTCAGATTCTTTCTGTCTTGGACTTTGAATTTAAACATCTGATTCTGAGATGCAGAAGGAGGGAGGCTGGATATCTTTGGGTTTGGACTACTGGAGGTGACCCAAAAGTCACTGTATTTTTGAAGCTTCTAAAGTCATAATTAGCTTTCTCTTGTCTTGGCTTCAAGAATAGTCAATAATATCTATCTTGTGTGATGAGAGCATTTCTTTCCCCAAAGAAAGAAATTCTCACATTAGGGTTTTCTAGTGTCTCCCTACCAGTGGGGTGGGGGTGGCGTTTGCAAGTTTCTGGGTTGATGTCTTGATGCATAATGCTGCAAGGGACATCGGTTGGCTGTGGTGCCATGAAATAGGTCTGTTCCTCACAGCTCTGGGAGTCTGAGTGGAAGAAGAGGGAGAGGTTAACAGAACAAAATCCCGTGAGGCAACTTGCTTATGAGCACTTTGGGTGGCTAGCACTTAACAGCCATGGGAAACCAGTATTATGTACAGACCTGTGCCTGGGGATGGAGAGGGGATAGACAGAAAATCATTAGGTAATTTAAGTGCTAGATCAGGTAGGGTTTTTAGTGTTGAATCATTTCTAGACAGTTTAATTTTAATTCTCACAGGATGGTGATTTATAACCTACTCAAAGTTAGGAATATTCTTAGTGAACTCAGAGATCTAGAGTTCTTTGAGAGAGACTTTTCTAAGTAAGTGTCCTAAATCAGGGTTCTGAAATCTGACTGATCAGAACCACCTGGGAAGTTTGTTAAAAAATAAAACATTTTTAGATTCTGGGTCGTTGGGCCGGCCCCATGGCTTAGTGGTTAAGTGCGCGCGCTCAGCCACTGGCGACCCGGGTTCGGATCCCGGGCGCGCACCGACGCACCGCTTCTCCGGCCATGCTGAGGCCGCGTCCCATATACAGCAACTAGAAGGATGTGCAGCTGTAACATACAACTATCTACTGGGGCTTTGGGGGAAAAATAAAAAAAATAAAAAAAAATAAATTTAGATTCTTGGTCGCAACCTCAAACCTACTAAATCAAAATTTCCAGGGATGAAGCCTGGGAATTTGTGGTTGTTGCTGTTTTTTAAAGCTTCTCAGGTGATTCTGATCAGCCTGGTTTGGAAACCTTTGCTGGAGAACTTGGTAAAGATGCAGAGACCCAGGCTTTTTCTATTTAAATAGAAATAGCCCGAAAGCTGGGCTTCTGTAGGCTCTGTTAGCTCTCCAGGTGATGCTGATACACAACAGGCTTTGAAAACCACTGTCCTAAGAGAGAACAGAGGCCAAGTATCAACGAGAAAAAGGGAGCCAATCCTTCAGTGGTTTATTTGTTTCTAATGCCAATTATTATAATCTTTGCATAGTCTTTTGAGACCTTGAAGTTCTCTTTTGTATTACCCTTTTCAGGTAGGGTAATCATTTTTATCAGAATGATTCTGAAGATAATAGTGGAGTAACAAATTCTTTTATGTGAAAATTGATTTTTATTCACTGGTTTGAACCCCTGCAAAATCACAAATAAATGGGAAATAAATCTTGACATTCATGTTAGTTATTGGCCTTTAATGTGAATTTGTTAAATTATTGTTTTATACTGATAGTTCAAGAGTATTGCAGAAATGGAGACTACTTTTTTTTTTTTGTGAGGAAGATCAGCCCTGAGCTAACATCCATGCTAATCCTCCTCTTTTTGCTGAGGAAGACTGGCCCTGAGCTAACATCTGTGCCGATCTTCCTCCACTTTATGTGGTACGCCGCCACAGCATGGCTTGACAAGCAGTGCATCTGGGCGCGCCCGGGATCCGAACCCGGGCCGCCAGCAGCGGAGCGCGCACACTTAACCACTATGCCATGGGGCCCACCCCTGGAGACTACTTTAAATACCTACAAAATGAAGGTAAATGTTATTCTATTTATATTTATAATTTAACTTATATTAAATCGTTAATTTACTAGTACTAATTGTCTAATACCAATTCAGTACTTGATGTAACATCCCAAATACTGCTTGGAAATGTGACCATTTAAAAAAACTGAACATGCTTTCTTTTCCCATATGCTGACTCAGGATGTACCTGCCTTTTCAAGCATTGCTAGACACTGGCCTGCCAGCCCTTCTGGATTTTCTCTCCTGATTGGTGAACATTATAGGCCTGAAACTAATTAAAGAAGAAATTGAAATATAACTAATTCCTCTCCGTGTTCCTATCCATAAAGAAAAGAGAAAGCAATTAAGACAAGGAAAAAGAAAATATTTACATGATTAGAAATGTGATTATACTAAAAATAATTATATCCTATCATTTGTATGCTACCTCTTAGGTGAAATTGTTTGGAACATGGATATTGTTGTAGCCCTTTCCTAGAGAAGTTTCTGTATTTGAGACAAAATGCCCCTGCAACCACTCAGCTGGTCTATGGCCAAAAAGAAAACATAAGCATTCCCTGCAGAGTGTTCTATGAGACCCAAGGAAGGGCTAAAAACAGAGCTGTGGGATTGTGACTGCCTTGGCTTTCTACTTTGAACAGAATAGCTGAGTGACCAAACAAGCAGGGAAAAAGAGACCACAGGTCAGGGAAGGCCCCTCAGCAGTAAGTGATGGTTTGCTCTTTTGTTACTACTAATGAGCCAAAATTACTCCAAGGTGATTTTCCTAATTCGCTTTCCCTAGCTATCGCTAAAGTATGCTAGGGGTTCTGCATTTTTTCCTATTATCTCCAGATTTAACTCTTTTCTTTAGGTGGTCCATCTTCTGTCCACAGGACACTGTCCCAGCTGACATGAGGCCTTTCCTGCCTGTCGTTGTCCTTTTGTAGGCAGTGGCCTGCTTTTGACTTGATCTAAGGCCGTGGTTAGAAGATGTAAAAATCTCCATGGTATTTTATGAAATCCAGTGACCAGATTGCCCAGGGAAACAAACCTCAGTGCCCCTTTCCCCTCCACCCCTCTTGGTTCACTATAGATAGGAAAAGTCCTCAGCTGTGTGAAGTGACTCATTTATCAAAGCGAAATAATCCCCAAAGCTGCAAGTGGCAATAGGTAGGAAGCCATTGGAAAATGACATATGTTGGAAAAAACTCTACATGTAGTTTTGATTCAGCCATAAACACCAGAGACTTGAGACTATATCTACATGTGACCTTTGTTGTTAGAAAAACCCTGCCTTCTCTTTGGCTTTCAAGCATAATCTGAATTCTTGCAAGTTTTATCTGCAAAGTTTCCATATAATAATGGTATTGCTCTGTATTAGGGTTCTCCAGGGAAACAGAACTAATAGGATGTGTGTATATGTAAAGGGATTTATTATAAGGAATTGGCTCATGTAGTTATGGAGGCTGGCAAGTCCAAAATCTGCAGAGCTGATGTCCCAGTTCAAGTCCCAAGGCTAGCAGGCTGGAAGAGCTGATATTCCAGTTCAAAGGCCATCAGGCAGGGAAATTCTCTGTTACTCAGGAGAAGGTCAACGTTTTGTTTTATTTAGGCCTTCAACTGATTGGTTGAGGCCCAAACACATTAGGGAGGCAATCTGCTTTACTCAGTCTACCAATTTCAGTGTTAATCTCATCCAGAAACACCCTCACAGAAACACCCAGAATAATGTTTGACCAAATATCTGGGCACCCGATGGCCCAGTCAAGTTGACACACAAAATCAACCATCACTTGCACTTAACAGTACTTTACTGTGTGATGGTACTCTTTTGATACCTTTTCTTCACACGCAAATTTAATCCGATTCACACTCAAAGCCCATCTGCTTAGGAACTAACTACATGTTAAGGGGAATAAAGAGGAGAAAGCAGATAGGAAGAGGAAGGAGCTAAGGTTGGCATTTTATGATTTATCGTGATATGAGAAAGGCAGCCCAGTAGCACTGGCTACCAATACCTGATTTGGTATAAACTTCGCTCAGATCTGTGAGTTGTGTATGCTTCTTACACTGTCTTGGAAATAAGAAAGAAAATACTTCTTCCCATCTTATGTTTGAGGGAAGCAATGTCTCAAAATTTGACTAACTGAAAGGCAGCCGGTTGAATTTGTAATAAAGCCAAGACATAACTGCAAGGCTTCTAATTCCCCGTCTCCATTCTGTCATTTAGGTTTCTGGGAAACATTTGACCTGAAAAACCTATTTTAGAAAAGAAGCATTTAGAGAAACAGAACTGACCCCTTTTGGGTTTGAAACTCTTGGTTAGTGTTAGATTTTGAGACCCTGTCGACATACAGAATAAGAGATATGCGTGTAATTAAATTTGGGGCCAAATTAAGTGCAGTTTGAATAGCATACAATGCAGATATATCCTAAGAGGTTTAGTTGAGAAGTTCCACTTACTAAGATATGTCACCCAAATGCAGTGACTGTCATTTATTTTTAAATATCAGCTTTCTTGTTTGCAAGTACAAGGATTTTAACAGCCATTCTATTTTCAACTGTTGCTGCCAGTAGCTAACATCTGAGTGTTTCTACAAGCCAAGTATTCTTCTAAGCACTTCACACGGATTATTTTTATTTTTACAATGACCCTATTTTATATTTATATATATATATATATATAATGTGTGTGTGTATATTTATATATATATATATGGAAACAGGCACAAAAAATTAAGACTTTGCTCAAGGTTAGACAGCTAGCAAATAGCAAACTGATTTTTAACCTTAAGCAGTGTGACTCCGGGACCTGGGCTCTTGACTACAGTACACTGCCTCCCATTTTGTATGTGTGTGTTTTGGTGGTGGCATCCTTGAAGTTTTTCCATATAACAAATTTTCAGGATGGTGGAAATGAGTAATTTATTAAATGGGTATACAGGTTTCCTAATACTTTTAGAATGAAAAATTTTAAATCTACTTATTAAGGAAAATGGAGAAAAGAAGAAAAATCCAAACCACCCATAGCCCCACAACCCAAACAAAACCTCTATTTACATTTTGATAAATTTGTTTTCAGTCCATTTGTTTAATGCAAAGATTTTTTTTCACATTGTGTTCACACTTAAACCATTTTCGATTACATACCTTTTATGTATCCAGTAGTACAGTAGGAGTTGGGGATATGAAGATTTATGCCATAGAAGTTCAAAGGAGAAGGAAGTCAAGGAAGATTTCTTAAAAGGAAGTAGGATTTGAGATGGATACAAATTGAGAAAGAAGTGGGATAGGATTTCAGGTTTGGGAGAAAGGAAGTTGAGCATTCTTATGAAGGTTTGGGAAGTAGCCAGTAGACCAAAGGGCTCGTGTTGTAGAGCAGTGGGAAATAAGGTTAGAAAGACTGTTGACAGATTTTATAGGTCATTAATTAATTTAACCAATAGTGGCATAAAAACCCTGTGCCAGGTACTTTATTAGATGCATAGACTGAAGGCCTGGGGAAGAGAAGGTTCCTGTCCAGGAACGCCAGTCCAAAAGGGAGCTGGACGTGTAAAAGAACTGCGTCTTGCTGCAGGGAGTGTTGAGTCTGCTTCTTCCAGTGATGGAGGACAAGGAGGGAGGTCAGGAAAAGCTGCATGGAAGAGAAGGCACTCAAACTGGATAAGAGTTGCCAACTGAAAGACTACAGGAGGAAATGCATTTTACACAGAATAAAGTGAATAAAGGCAGCATGCAGTAAACCGCAAAGCTTGCTCAAAAAACAGGATGTTCATTATGGCTGGAGCTGGCAGCGGGTGGAGGAAGGGACTGTGAGAAAATGAGGTTGGACGTGGGGTCAAATCACGGAGAGCTCTGTATGCCATGCTGGAGCATTCGAACTTCATCTTGTGGTGGA